ACTCTTTCCTGCCATGGCAGGGGGTTGGACTTGATGATCCGCTCTGGTCCCTTCCAACCCGACCAACTATGAAACTATGAGTACACCAGTAGTCCATGCTTTCAGACTCTGTGGAGGCTCTGTTTACTTGCATCTGGGTAATTCCTTCTTTTAGAAAAAAGTTCATTTACTTTCAGGTGTCCCAGAAACTCCTTTTTCTCCTCAATTCTTCAGAATCGCAGAAGAGCCTGGAGAAGTCTGAGAAACGGCGGGAACGCTGGGAGCAGAAACAGCAGAAGAAGCGGAGGATAAAGCAGCGCTCCATCAGCAAGGAGAAGTGGGTGGAAACCCTGGTGGTAGCAGATACCAAGATGGTGGAATATCATGGGAGTGAAAACATCGAGAAATACGTCCTGACTGTCATGAACATGGTGAGTTTGGGCTTGGCAGTGAAAGCTGCTGATGACTCAGGCGGCCAAACTGTAAGAGCTAATGGTCACTGGACTTCCCAGGGTTCATCTCTTCACCTTCCTGGGTCCCTGCCGGCCTGTGCTGATTGCTTGTTACCTCCCCTTTCCTGTGCACCTCTACTGCACCACAAGACTTCAGCTCCTGGCTCCAATAACTCCTTTTGCTACCTTGCTACCTAGGCTCAGTTATCCTAGCTGGGCTAGACATTACTCTTTTGCCAGCCCTAAACTATGGGTGGCGCGTGGCTTGACCACGCGCTCGCAGATCTGTCGGGGGAGAATGGCTGTTCCTTCTGCATCAGCACTGGTGGGCTGGATGGAGACCCTTCGTCTGTGCTCTGGCCAGCCCTGGAGGGAGCACCCACAGAGCTAAAACCCCATGTTGCCCGATACAGGCATGTAAGGCAGCTGGCAGACCTGTGCTTGACATGTAGAGGCTGCATGTGCCATCCTGCTGGGTCTGATTTTAATCCACTGGGATCCATAGGAAGACTGTCCTGTGCTCAAAAGGGCTCTGGGAACTCCCAGGGATGCCAAGGGAATGGCTTGTGAAATAAGACCTGCAGAGAAGATGCAGGTGTGTTTAGCCACCTGGTCAACAAGCGGCTCCCTGCAGCCTGCCCTTAACGCTTCCCAGCTGAGCTGGTGCCCACTCACCCGTGACCTAGCCTGGCTGGCAGGACAAAATGCCCGGCTCTCCTGGGAACATGCCATTGCAAGATGTTACAGGGAGAGAGTCAAGTGAAGCAGCACCCAAGAGCTGGGAAGAGTTCCCAGTGCTGAAAAATGGGGCTGCCTGTTCTGGGCCATCAGGGTTCTCATAAAAATGGCTTCAGGCTCCAAAAGCTTGTTGCAATCATTGCATTCAAATTCCTCAGCAGCTCTCATGGCTGCCACTACTTTCAGAGCTGGGAGGAAAGGGTAAATCAGAAGCAAGGTCACTTGGGGGGTTAACGAAGAAGCACTTCACTGCCAGGGCAGCTTGGCTGGGGTATCGAGTAAAACTCATGGCATGATTCCTCTCAGGATATTTGCTTCTATCACAGAGCTTAGCATCCTTGGGCACGATTCACCTGCTATTTCCTTGGTACTACACCAGCACAGTTATGCAAAGATGGCAGTGAGAGCAGGGGGCAAGGGACACCAGTGCAAGGCCATTTCCTGTATCTGTGTGATGGAGAACAGCTCCCACAAGAAACCACACACACTCGTACAGTTTCATAGTTTCTAGGGTCGGAAGGGACCTGAGCAGATCATCTAGTCCGACCCCCTGCCATGGCAGGAAGAGCACTGGGGTCAAATGACCCCAGTAAGGTGGTCATCCGACCTCCTCTTAAAAACCCCCAGGGTGGGAGCCTGCACCACCTCACTTGGAAGCTGGTTCCAGAC